GTTATAGATTTAGATAAATAAATAAAAGCCAAAATTAATTAGTAAGTTTTTGAGTTATAAGCCAAGTCCTTAAGTGGAGAATTATTTTTGTCACCCTTCTGTACAATCACTTTCCGGATAATAAAGAATGTATTTTGTAGAGGATTATCCACATAGTTGTATAAAGCTTCTACAAGAAAAGAATCACAAGGCCAGACTGCTTCTTTATCTATTGTGATAAGTTTTCTTATATTTCTTATAATATATTGTATATTGTAATCTAGTGTTGGGTCTTCTAGTCTATTACTTTAATGATAATGACTAATTAATGCTGTATAAGCATATAAATTTGATATCTGAGAAACTATATTTGCCAGGTTAAAAACACTGCTACTATATTTAGGTGGGCTGGGTGTGTATCTAAATTGTAGGTATTGCAAAAATCCTCAAACTTATTCTACAAGCTTTCAAGTCATTTATTATACTTTGATTATAATACTATTATTTTTAAGTTTTTTTCTGCCAACATATTTAAAAATAAACTTTTACTGTCTGAATTTCTAGTACAGATTTTTCTGTGGTTTTGGTATTTGGTTCCCTTCTGATACAAATAAAAAATAGTTCATAGCTAGAAAAAGATCCATTACTAATTTTGTATTTTGAGCAAAAGTAGCTATCAAGAGACAAATATCTATATTAGATCAATTATCATCATGTGAGCCTGTGCTTCTATTTCTTACTCAATCACTCTGTAAATTAAATTTAATAGAGGACATATACCATATAAGCATAAAATAATGCTCTCCTGTGCGTTAATTGATAGACCTGTACATTATTTTAAGTGTATGCATATGCATTATTTTGAAATAAATAAGAACTAATTTTCAGAGCCAAATACTTTTAAAATAATGCTTATGCATCTTGCATAGTGTAACTATCATAAGGAAGAGCTTGCTATTGTCATGTCGAGTTTAACTCCAATAGCTGACATTAGAAGGGTTACATGAATTGGGCAATAAATTATGTTATTCAGATATTCATGATTTATTATAAAAAAGAATGTGAATATATATGACATTTATTTATTGAGGAATTTTGGAGAGTGAATATTATCCTCAACTAAGGATAAAAACACACTCTTATGTATATTCTAATTTTACAAATAGTCAATATCAGGATCTCAATGCTTACGTGTAGATTTCATATTTGCTCAAGATGCAATAATCACAAGTTTATGCATACGCGTATGAGCGTAAATGCTCTGACATGAAATAAGTTATCAAAAATACATAATAATGTCTAATACTACTATGATAAGAATAACATGACTATAATGGTACAATTATGGAAGGTGAGTGACAACTTAAAGAATTAAACAAATACAAAGTGAGGAAACACAGAAAAAATTAATGGTTACAATAGTGAGATCTAAAGATCTATTACATAGCAACTTACTAGTAGCTATATAAAGTTTTACATAATGGTATTAGATATTCACACTAGTTTTATTTTACACTATGCAATTGAATTGTTGCATCAATCAACTACAGGTTATATTAGGTGTGCATTAATTCGGGACACACATAGGTGCTAATTCAAGACACTATATACTATTTTAGGGTGCCCAGATTTCAAAATAATGCTCATGCACATTATTTTACGTTTATATAATATAATTGTTGTTGCTGCTCCAATTTTGAATAAAGCAATCGATTGTATCTGCTTTTGGGCAAAAGAAGTGGCTATTGAAATGAGCTACTTTTTTTGTACAAAAACTGGTCATTCGGTCTATAGTAAACAGTCTCCATTTTTTCTTTATTATTTGATATATATTCTGATTTATTTTTTAATTGGATTCATTGAAAATACAAGTCAGTTCATCAAGTTTTGAAGGTATCTACTGGAATTCGTGGATGTATATATTGTAATTGTCACAAAGGTTATACACTTCTCATATTATTTCTTTCTGCCATGGTCTTTTTCCTCCTGATTCTATTAATTTTTGGGCTACATAATTGTCTATAAATACTGTTATCTAATGATTTATAAGTATTGGTATAAAAGCTGCTATGCCTAATAAGGCTGCAATTGACTCAAGTTGGGTAATGTTGGTATGGCTATGCTTTGACTTCCAATTTCCAAAAGCTTTCATTTTCCTTATAACTACAGACCACCCTGTCATTAATGTATTAATATATATTGGTATTACTTTGGACAAACACCATGCTGGGTGCTTATTCTTTTTTTCTAAATTTGTCAAACCCCAGTTTATATCATAAATTATTTGTGATTAGCTAAATTTGAGCTTCCCATTTTCAAGAATTTCTGTGTTTTGCATTGATAATTGAGTAGAATTCCAAACAATATGTTTTTGCATAAGTGAATGCATAACTTAAACTCATTAGTTTTCTAGCTGCAGAAGCAAATAACTGAGCTATCAGGTGAGATATTGTTATAAGGCTTCAGAGCATTCTTTATCTTCTACCACTTTCTAGTTACTGTATTTAAGATTAATTCATAAAATTTTGCTTGCTGCATTAGCTCTGGATGTCTTTTTTCTGCCAACACAAATCCTCTTTCTTTCAAGTTTCTAAAAATTGTCTAGTCCCTAATTTGTGTTAAAGTCTCTTTGCATAGATGAGCTATCTATATATTATCTATATAACTTTTATATATTATTCCTGATACTCTTCAATGCTCAATTAGTATGTATATTATTTTTGAAAAAATCAAACTTGAAAGCCTAATAGTTGTTATACTTTGTTGTCTATTAATATATAATGATATTGTTTCTTTAGATCTAGTACTATTATCTACCAGTTTCAGCTAACCATATATAGAAAAATTTCAAGACCTTCGAATTTGAATAGTTTCTCTAGCAGTGTTTTGTTTAAGTATCTGAGATTGACAACCAATTGTCACTGCTTGGGTTCTGGCTTTGGAACTAGAAAAATTGGGCTTACTTTAAGCAGATACAGAAGGTAAGTATTTGAATTTGCAACTTGTATAATCATATTTAATTCTAACAATTTTTTTATTTCCAAATTTAACCATCTTTTTTGTTCCTTTGTTAATGGATATTCTGGTGGGTTGGACTATTTGGCCAAGGCTAGTAGTCTTTTTGAATACAAAGATACCCTATTTCTTAATTAATGCAAGATTAAGTCAGATGTATATAACTTTCTTTTTCAATAACTTATGTTTCTCTATATGTAAGTGCTCTACTACTACTAATTTTTGTTGGGCTCGAGTGTAGTCAATTGCATTTAGACTCATCTTGGAGTTTTTCAAATCTGCTTTTATATATATTATATCCTCTTAATCTGTAGTTAAAGTTGTATTCTTGTTAATATTAGGTGTCTCAATATAGGTCAAAAGGCAATTATTTGCAAAGTGTCTATATCTTTCACAAATATAACATCTGTTTGAAAAACTTTGAAATTAATTTTGAGGCTGGGAATCTGTCTGAAAAAACCTACCTATATCACAATAATTTTGAAAAAAATTATGATAAGAATGTTGAGATTTTTCTTAAGTATTTGGTTTTTGAAATATAAGGTTCTGATTTTTGGTCCAATTAGTTGTCTTTTGCTATTTGTTCCTTTTTATTTTTGCCAAAGCTTTTGCTTTTTTGATTAATGTATCCTTTTCTTTAAGCCAGTCATCTTGTATATTAGGTAGTGCTGTAGCAACTTCTCAACTATAATCTTTGGCTACTCACAGAGTAAATATATGATTTGCTAATGTTTTACAAGCCTTTTCAATATGAGTTATAGAGTCTGAAAAACTTCTTGATTCTTTGATCAAGTCAAGTTTTGTACCAATTGCATATAATGAATTATATTTATGCTAGTCATGTAGCTTTTCAAATTTACAGACTGGCTATACTTCATTAATCTCAGCTTTGTAGCGTATATTCTGTACTTATATAGTTACTGAAGTAAGTTTATCATTAAAGCTTGATATCACAATTTCCAACTTTCTAAATCCAGACATAATTAAATTTTCTAATAGGTTGTCTAGACTTATTTTATGATAATGCTATTTGTTCTGATTAATACACTCTTTAGTATATAATTAAGAGGTGTTCAGGTCGTTAATTCCATTTTAAGAGGTTGATTGCTTTGATTTTCTTTTTGATTCGTATGGCAATTCTTTTAATGTTCTTGCTTCTTGATCAATTTCCAAGTCATTTTCATATATGTAATCTAAGTTATCAATATTATAAATTTTCATGCTTGTTCTGCTAGTTTCTTTAATGTTATCTGGGTTTTACTTACACTACAAAAAGTTGCTTCAACCTTTGCACCAAGTCTGCCTTTACACCCTTTAATTACATACCAACAGCATAACAAAACTCTTCTAAGTTACCTTTCAACAAGTTAAATTCTGACATATTTTCTTAATTACAGTTATATTGTAAGAGTTATTTGTTTTTTTTTATAGTTTTTAAATTTAAGGTGAGAAGAATAATGAATAAACTTTGAAGATAAAAGTTTGAATTAAGAAAAATAAAAAAGTATATATGAAACTAAAAGAAAATATAAGGCACTATAAAACATATATATGAAAAAGCCAAACCAATGTTGAGTAGCAAAGAAAAAAGCACTAAAGATCTACAATTCCTGATTTGGTCTTAATTTATATCTCTATGTTTTACATAGGTCAAAATATCATCATAGTTTCAAATAGAACAATAGATGATAATCTTCGCAATAATAACTTTAGTATGACTATTGTCATGCATCAGATCATTAATAAAGAAAAAAGTTTTTTTTTAAAACCCATTTTTTAATATAAAATCTGTAAAAGTAATATTGACCAATGAAATTTGTAGAAAAATGTCACTTTTTTAATTAGTGTTACAGAATTGCCAAATATTATAGTAAAGATTAAGATACAATTTTTATTATTTAACTTTTAGTAATTGACTTTTAAAAATTAAAACTTGTATTAGAAGTGAAGATTTTTTTTATAGGCAAAAACATATAAAATTTAGAAAGTTTAAAAAAAAAATTTTATAATAAAAAATTTAAAAAAATTTTTAAACTTTTATTATTTAAAAGTTTTTTTTTATATTTTTAAAAACATTTCTTAATAAAGTTAATAAAATAGATTTTAAAATATATTTTTTACTTAGTAAATATATAGCTAAAATTAATATTCAAGATTTTATTAAAAAATTTGAAAATTAAAAAAATTGGTAAAAATCTTTACAAACAAATTTGCCTGTATTACAATTTAAAGAATAGATAAAAGCATAAAGCAAGAATCAATATACTAATTTAAGTATAGCACTTATTTTAATTAAAGTCAAAATATATAGTAAGATCAAATAGAATAAAAAAGCTAATTAACTAGCTAAAAAAGTACAAAACTAAGACAGAGTTTGGTACTGCTAATTGAAGAAAATATTTATATACTAGTAATTATATGTTACTCTTGCAGTAATTTGGCAGTAATTTGTAGTATTTTGATAGTATTTTTGTAATTTGATAGTATTCTTGCAGTGATTTAATAATGTTCTTGTATGTTTCAATAGACATTCTTATGGTGAAGTGATGATATTCTTGTAGTAATTCTTGTGGTGATTCAACAATGTTCTTGTAGTGATTATATAGTGTTTTTGTGATAATTATAAGGTGTTCTTGTGGTGATTTAATAGTAGCAACTTGACAACATTGTTTGTAGTAAATTACTGGTATTTTTAATGGTTTCTTGTAGTAAGTTGACAGTGTTCTTGTGAATTGATAGTATTCTTATATGTATTCTTGTAGTGGACAGTGTTCATATAGTAAGTTAGATATTTTTGTATATATTATTATAATGAATTGATAGTGCTTTTGTATGTTTTCTTGTAACAATGTTTTTGTGATAATAAAAAAATTTAATTTATATTATAAATTTATATTTTATTATATAGAAAAAAACTAGAAAAAATCACTAGCTTTTTTTTTTAATAACTATAAAGTTTTGTGTTATTAGTACTCCTTTTAATTATTGGTGCTTTCTTTGTTTCTAGTATCATTGCTTGTTGGTGTCTTATTTGTTGCTAATGTCATTATTTGTTATTTCTCCTTTTTATTATTTATTGATACTTCTTTTTATCACTTTTAGTATTTCTACTTTATTGTTTACTAATATTGTATTATGCTAGTTTTGGTTATATAGTGTTGTATTGTGTTGTGTTGTATTAGTATTGTTGTGTTTAAAGTTAATGTTAGAAATAGAGATAGAGTAGGCTTAGTAATAAGAGTAGAGTAGTTAGAGTAGAGTTAGAGTTAGATGATTCTACTTTAAAATTCCAAAAGACAGATTCTAAAAAAAACATAATCCCAACAAAGTTTGCTAGTATTAGTTATAATGCTGGCTAATTTAGTTAGTATTATATTTTTTCAAGAAAATAGCTTTTGGGATTTTAGAGCAAAACAGATTAGATAGTAGCAGAATTGGTATATAGATAATGTTTGTTTATCTGATATAAAATCTTAGAAATATTTGTGTATTATGTAAATTATTAATATAAATACAAAATAAGATATATTAAATAAATAAATTAATAGAGGTGTGGCGACTTAGTGTAGTGGTCTAGTCGTTACCCTCTCTAAGTGGCAGGTCTAGAGTTTAAATTTTATAGACAATGATATTTGAAAAATAGGCTTGTTTTAGTTAACGGCTATGCTAATCAGTTGAATCTAATCTGTAACTTTGGTCACACTATCTAGTAATAGGAGCAATGGCGCAATAAATGAGGAACTGGCATAACCAAAAACCTATTTGGGAAGTCCCGATCTAGAAAAATAGTGATCTTCGATGGTATCACAAGAGGGCTGAATTCAAACTGGGGCCCGAAATCAGAGAACCAAACGACTAGATCCTAATGGTGGAGAACACACTAGTCGAACTGCCAGGTTTGTCGCACTGGAGGAAAGGACATACGCTCCAAAAGTATGTACCAAGAGGAGGGCGTTCTTTAGGCACCTAAAGCCTGGGCCGACCAACCTTTCCAGGTTGCCAGCTAGAAATAAGGGAGAGACCGATAAAGAATCTGGATAAGAAGATGGTCCAATTGCGATACCAGAGTTGCTGTAAACCTAATAAGAGCAGAAATAGGTAATCACAGGGTTCAATAGTTAGCTCTGACCCCAAGTACATAGATAAAGCCATGGCGTAGGTTGCTGAAGTCTAGATGGATATATGTGTTGGACATGTAATATCTAACAAAATGGGAATACCCTACTATCTAATAATCTGGCAGCACCCAGAGTCGGGGTAAGCAAACTACATGGGATGTGTAGACTAATGGTGAGACAAATAGGGGTTACAATGACTATACTAGGCTGAAAGGTTTGGTACATCTTACTCAATAAGGTTTATAGAGATTCGGGAACTGTAACACTGCAGGGGGAGAGACCTGGAACATCTGCGGTTGTTGATAACTAATTAGAAAGGTTATGGCTGGCTTGAGATACAGACTGGCTTACGGCAGCACCCCAAAAAGGTGGCTTGAGATATGAACTTGGTAATAGCAGCATAACAGATACTAATAGGTTAGAGATATACTGAATCACCATTGTAAAAGTAATATGTTGTATTATGTATCCACAATAATGAGTAATAAAGAGGCAGTGTCGTTAAAAAAAATAAAAATAAAAAAATAAATAAATAAATTAATATAATAATTTTATTAGTTGTATGGGTTAGAGTCCTGTAGTCTAGTGGTTTAGATACCTAATCCTCCACAGACAAGGTTGACAGTTCAATTACAGCTGGTAGTAATTAATTAAATTAATTATTTCTGTAATCTTCGAGAGTTTTTAAATATGGAACCCTGTAGCAGTAAGACTATATGAAGTACATATTTGGCTAATAAAGAATTCTTGGAAGGAGTCCTGAGGATTTTACTTATTTTTGCAAGTGATACAAAACCCAAAAAAGAAAATCACATTTGTAAACTAAAAAAGTTTAGGATTAGAATATTAGGGTTGATGTTAGGGTTTAGTGTTAGTGTTGTGAGCTTTAGTGATAATATGTGTTTTTTATATATAAAATTTTATTCTTGTTATTTTTTATTAGTTCAACAAGGTCGATTTAAATACTAGTTTTTGAGTATTTTTTCTTTTTCATTTTTTTTTGTGTTTTTTTTTGCTTTACTCACGTGTCAGGCTGATCTGGAATCATCACATTTTACGTACACCGATTGGCTAATTTCTTGTATTACTTGCACAAATAAGTATACGTGTTCTGAGCCATGAGAAGATCAGGCATTGTGTGTAACATGGGTTATGAAAGATAATACTGCAGAAGGCTGTGCGTGTGAATCCACAATTGGCAAAGTAGCACCAACAACTCTAAAGCAGCATTGGGATCTTGATTGAGAGGATGGCTATATGCAATATATCCAGAAGTGGTAAGAGAAGTGGTGAATATAGTAAGAGGCTGTGGTAAGATAATGGCTTTACCAAATATAAAACACCTTTAGCACAATAAAGAAACAAGAAAAACCAGTTAAAAGAAACTCTGAAAAGCATAAAAGCAAGCATCCTAGTAGTACAAACATAAAGCCAGCTAGTGAGTAATAGTCACACAACCTATATGAGAGTCTATGACGAAATATAGCAGAAGCGCAGGTCCTGAGTTACTGCTTTGTGACAGTAATTAAATGAGGTACTTAACTCCTGTTTTAAGGATCTAGACTTCTGTATCACCATACTGATAGGAAGTACTATAAAAGAGGTGGTAGCCTAATTAAATAGTGTATGATGTGAATACCTGGAACCATACAAACGGCTCTCCTAATAATGGCAGCAGATGGCTTGAGATATGGGTCTTCAGACAGCGATAGTATCTAGCTTGAGATACAGATTAAGATCTGAAGTAATGTCTCTAAAAACACCAAACTAGAAGCAAGAAGAGCGCCCACTCCTAGAACACCAATTTGGAAGTAATACAAAAAATGTATTAGAAGTAATGTGATAAGTGATAAGGAGTGGATTAAAACTAGTAGACATTGTACAGTAGTATATATAGCAGGTATATATAAATTAGTAAAAATATTAAGGTTCTGAGTTAAATTAGAATTTAGAGTACTTCTTGATAAAGATTCCCAAGGCAATCTATCTTACATGTGAGATGGTGCAGATGGTTGCATCTGAATACTATATAGGGTAGCTAGGTAAGATCGTAATAACTATTTAGTTAGATAGTTAAATATATGTAATATATATATACTATTTGGTTAAATATAATAATAAAGTTAATGACAAAATCGTCGAAGCTTAAAAAAAAAAAAAAATTTTTATTGGTTGTATAATTGGCAACTTTATCTTGAAGTAATTTTAAATTTGGCTTGCATTAAGAGTAGAGTTTACTCTATATTGATTACTTATAAATCTC